CCCCAAAACCCCAAAACCCCAAAACCCCAAAACCCCATAAATTAGAATAATCTAGAATACATTAAGCGAAAGTTTTTTTGTAAATTAAGTTAATATATATGTTAGTATACAAAAGGAAATTTTCCTATGACTATTCAAAACTCACAAGCAGCATAATAGCTTACCCGCGAGCTGTTTAATTACTCATATTTGATTAAATTTGAACATATTTACATCATTGTTAAAGGTTTTCACATTAGCTTACAATTTTTCATTATTATTGTTAAAGTTGTTGCTGTTACAACTATGATTCTTGTTGTGTCTTCGATTGTTAATGTACCGAGTTTAATTGAGTTTCTTCCTTCTTAAACCAAGTGTTTTCCAATACCTCGCTTGCAGTCGGTCTTTACTAAGGATCATAAGCAAGCAGTGAGATTAGTAACCTCTTCAAATCACTGTCAATATATAATCCTTTTGTTGCAGGATGAAATTAAAAGAATTTCTCCTACAAACTAAACTTGTTTGAGTGGATGTACTTGTAGAATGAGTCCCTTGGACTTGCTGTTTTGAAAGGAGCTTGCTTAAACAAGCAAACAAACAGCATCGCGCCGAGGGAGAACATATCAATCTTGTCTCCTCTTAATTCGGAGTTGTGATTAGCGTTGATTACTTCTGGAGCTAGGTATATTAAGTCTGATTACTCTAATTGATCAATTTTGAACATCTCTCTGTTGATTCGAGAATACATATTCGAAGTGCAACTTCTAAAGTCGTAGAATTTCGGACCTAATGACTGATCCAACAAAATTTTGGAAGGTTTTAAGTTAAGGAGACTCATATTGAGTTTGCAATGAAATTAATCAATCGTCTTAACCAACTATCTTATAATTTTTCTGATCAGTAGAGACTGGTTCAAGCATTCCGCTTGCTATTTTTAATTGCCCTCGTTCAAGACAAAAGAGAGCAAATCAGCATTTTTGCAATATTCTTGAACTAAAATCGTGTAGCCCTAAGGGTACTGATGAACTTAAAACTACTCATCGACGAATGCGGCAGTTTCTGAGTTGATGTTGGCTGCGCCAAAGTTTTAGATCGTGTTAGAATCAATGCCAACTAATTTTCGCATAATGCTTAATTCGTGGCTAAGCTCATTAAGAGACTTAGAATCGCTATTATCGTAGACTTTTACTACTTTTAGCGAGTTTGAATCACCTCCAACAGGCGGCTCAATCATAGAAATTTGAGTTTACGCCTGGACCTCAGTATTCTCAAGGTCTGTTTCCTAATGATTCCAAGTTTCTCGAGCGATGTTGTGTTATCCCTCGATTCTTGATCTGACTAGGAAAGTTTTGTGTGATGATTTCGAAGAAAAGCTCTTCAGTACCTTGATTGGTTCAAGCTACTGGGGAGCCCTTTGATTTGATACCTGTGGGATAGGCGTAGAGGTATCAATCTGATTTACTTCTTGTTCTGTAAACACAGAATCTGAAGTTAAGTTTTCTAATGGTCTCATGTTTTAAATGTTTTGTTGTTTTGTTTAATTCAATCAACAATTTACAAATGATTATATATTACATTTCTTTAAAAGGGAACTTATTATTTTATAATCGGCCAATAGGAAAAAAGTTGGACTTAATTCATATTAATTAACTTAAAATTTATAACTACAACATATAACTCAAGCTAATTTCACAAGGAAAAGTTTTACTATACTTTACATTGAGTGAGAGGAAACAGGTTAGTGAGTCATTAATTACCATTAATGAAGACACTACCCATCTTTCTATCAGTTCATTAGATCTCCACTGCTACTCCATTTTATTAAGAATTTTCTTGTTCAATTTTTGAATAAATTTGTTCCATCTCTGAGCCGAATTCATCTTAAGAGATGAGATCCTTCGTCAGATAAGAGAATTATCGAATTTCAGCTATAGACTAGGGTCTCATGGCTGGATTTTCATCCATAAGGGCGAAAAGCAACTCGATCAATTCATGGTCAATCTTTCCCTCTTGAAACTGTTGCTTAGTTCCCAAATGGAGTCGCAAGAAATACTTGTAACTCTATGAACCTCTATAAAACAAGCGATAGAGTCCATCTTCTCTTGTTGCCTGATTAAAAGGAGGCACTCCGAATATCATAATAAATAGAATTACTCCCAAAGAGAAGAAGTCTGCCTTGACTCCATCATATCCTTCATTGCTTTGAATATATGTCTCTGGGGCTCTGTATCCATGAGTTCCTCTGTTTTTGTTGATTTTCCTGTTAGTCTCTTCATAAAAGCCGAAATCGCAAAGTTTGAGAGAATAGCTTGAAGAAACTAGTATATTTTCTAACTTGAGATCAAGGTGAGCAACCTCAACTTTACTATGAAGGTATTCTAAGCCATTTAGCAACTGATGGAACAGATTCTTAGATAAACTCTCTGAAAGCTTGCCATGCTTTTTAACTAAGTTAAAAAGATCACCGTTTTAGCAAAATTCCATGGTCATATAGTCGAAGCCTTTGTCAAGTTTTGGCTAGTCATTTTTCGTCGAGTAAGTTGAAGCAGTTTACTAGCTAAAGTTGACAACGGAATTAGGGTAATTTTTGGCAGACATCAATCCATTATGGGAGTGATTGTAAACTTTGATGATATTGTCATGAGCCTCTATATTTTTAAGTAACTAATACTCTCTCAGACCTAAAGCCTTAAACTCGTCCTTTTCGAAGGTCTTCATTGCGAACAAATTCTCCTCAGTATAGGCTGATTCTGTGCTGGAAACATCAGAATTGGCAGCAGTACCACTTGTAGGTTTATATTATGAAACGAGGAATACACGACTCTGGAGACCACTTCCGATTTCCTTGTGGACTCTTATTTTATCGTCAACCACTTGCAACATAGTAGCTGGAATGCTTGATGGTTGATTAAGTGAATTATTGATTGATTGCATCATACTAGTGCAGTTGTTTTAAATGAATTTAAATTTAGGTTTTATACTAAAATTTTAACTTAAGTAATATCACCGACCAATAAAGAAATTCACATTATGGGGTTTTGGGGTTTTGGGGTTTTGGGGTTTTGGGGTTTTGGGGTTTTG